GTATGGGGAATTTATTGGTATCGTCAACTCACATTGTTTTGTAAAACATTTGGAGAAGATGAGAATAATCGCCATTATTACTAATTTGTTTGGATTTAATTTTTTTTTGGATATTCTCGGACAGATCTGTGGATCCCTGGCATTCTGTCTTATTGTTTTTTTAATATTTATCTAATTTTCTTAAGCATTTTCCCATTGTGTTTGATATATACAGACAAAATGACGAGGGTTACACGCGATTTTCGGGATTCATTACACAAAGATGTTGTTCCAGCAGTATCAGCAGATGTGAAATTTGCTTCAAGTAGATTTCCTAATTATAGAATTGGGGCTAATGATCAGATATTTGATGTGAAAGATGACCCTAAAGTGCTGTCAATGAAAGAAGTTGTTGCGCGTGAGACAGCGCAGCTTTTGGACCAGCAGAAGCGTATGTCTGTTCGTGACCTCGCCAATAAATTTGAGAAAGGGTTGGCTGCAGCTGCTAAGCTGTCCGAAGAGGTCTGATATGTCCTAAAATCCTATGTTTGATGTCTTCTTTTTAAATTTGTTTCTATGTTTGTTCTTATATGTCTCATTCTTTTTTCATATTCTATTGGACTATGAATGGAGTTTAGAAGCTTCTCAATTTCTCTGAAGTTAAGTTAGACTTATATTCGTTTGTTAGGTTCTAAAATGATCGCGCGACGTTCTCTCTTTTGTTGGGTTCACATAGATTAAATGCGTCTCTGCCTTGTTACTAGCTAGTCAAACTTTGGTTGAAAATGAGTTGGCTTTGCATGTTTTATCTGAGAAATTTTTTGATGTACTTTCCTAATTAGTATTTTAAAAAGTAGCTTCTCATCTATAAGAAACATTTCTTGTTAAGAACCATAATACTATTTTGTTAGAAATACAGATTAGGAAGGCAATTCTAAGTGAAGATATGATGATTGAAGAATATTTAAAGCTAATTTGGTTGGTAATGAGTGCAGGCAAAACTCAAAGAAGCAACTTCCTTGGAGAAACATGTTCTTCTAAAGAAACTTCGAGATGCACTGGAGTCTCTAAGAGGACGTGTGGCAGGTAGAAACAAGGATGATGTAGAGGAAGCCATTGCCATGGTTAGTCTTTTATAGTCATCATATATAGCTCGGGCACGGTGTGATATATTCACTAGCATTTCTGAAAAGAGAAATCTGTTTTTCCCCTTTTGATATTGCTTCTTAAATTGTCTCGCAAACCCACCATCAGCATATTTTTCCACGTTCCTCTATTTCTTAATTATGTTTGCTAATTGTGGTCTCTGCTAGGTGGAAGCTTTAGCTGTTCAGTTGACTCAGCGAGAAGGAGAGCTTTTCATAGAAAAAGCGGAAGTGAAGAAGCTGGCGTCTTTTTTGAAGCAGGTAAAGCATGCTCTTTGAGACGGTCTCGGATTTTCTTTTCTCGTATATCTTTAGGTGAACAGTTAGGAAATGTCTGTGTCATTTCACCTGAAACAACAAGGTATTCTGAAATAGCAAATATGTTTTTGGTCAATGCTTACTACCGTGTAGTGTTTGTTAAGTCCTTAAAGTAGCCAGAGCTAGTGAGAGATTGTCCCGTTTGTTTTCATTAGTAATTCATCATCTATTACTTCTGATAAAGAATTACGATGTATTTCCTTACAGACATTATCTTTCATTTCCAATTCTCAATTAATTTTTTTAATCTTGCATGGGATATGAAGTTCTTTGGTTTCTTATCTGTGTTATTCTTCTGTTGTTCGTTTTAAATCAGTTGTTACCATTTCATTTGGTTTGGCTTAGAAAGTATGCAGATGTGTTCTAATTTTCTTGCTGATTAGTGGTAACATTCTTTAAATAGGCCTCAGAGGATGCTAAGAAACTTGTCGAAGAGGAAAGAGCTTTTGCGCGTGCTGAGATTGAAAGTGCAAGAGCAGCTGTACAAAGAGTGGAAGAAGCCCTGCGAGAACATGAACAGATGTCTCGAGCTTCTGGGAAGCAGGTACGTAGTGATATCCGGCTATCATAGTACTGGTCATATGCTTATAATGTTGATTTGTGTGCCATTGAAGATATCTCCAGCTTACGCTGATTTCACTTTTGCACATGTAAACAATGTTGTTGCTCTACTGTCTTGTCTGGTATATGTAAACATAGTATTGTTAACAATTGTATGTCAGGACATGGAAGATTTGATGAAGGAGGTTCAAGAAGCTAGGCGGATTAAAATGCTTCATCAGCCAAGCAAGGTGGGTAAATGAAAGGTGGTTTAATTGTAGGAATAAAATGGCTTGATTTGTCTGTCTAAGTCGATGCTTCTTTAGTATCTTAAGTTGTTTTTGATAGGTCAATCATGTGCTTTGTTTTAGGTGATGGACATGGAATATGAGCTTCGAGCACTGAGGAATCAGCTTGCAGAGAAATCTAAACATTTTCTTCAACTACAAAAGAAGGTTAGTTGAATTCTAGATGAACGCATTTCTGACTGTTATGGGGTTGATAGATGGATTCTGATACTGAATCACACTTTTCTACATATCAGCTTGCAATGTGCAGAAAGAGCGAGGAAAGTATATCGCTTCTATATGAAATAGATGGCACTGAAGCTCTAGGTTCTTGTTTGCGGGTCAGACCTTACTCTAATGATGCTCCTGATCTTTCAAAGTGTACGATGCAATGGTACCGTTCATCTTCCGATGACAGCAAGAAGGAGCTTATATCAGGTCCTTTCACCTTTTATATATATATATTTTTTTTTCTTTCTTTGATTAAATTGTCTTAAAATACTTTTTCTTTCACATAATATATGGTCATGGGTGAGCTTTTCCTAATTGAATTTATATTTTTTAAAAAGGCTGTGGTTCTGTTCTGAAATCTCAATTACAAATTAGATCTTACATCTAAAGATTTTGGAATCAGGAATGATAAATCTCAAATCGTTGGGTGTAATTATAGCCAAATCAAGTTGGAGGTTATTCTCATTGAGGAAAAATATTTCCTTATCTCAGGTGCCACAAAATCAGTATACGCTCCTGAGCCTTTTGACGTTGGACGAGCCTTGCATGCTGATATCATTTACGATGGCCATACGCTTTCATTATCCACAGTGGGAAAGATTGATCCAGGTTCGTTGTTCCTTGGAAAGGGTTCTTAATTATGTGGCCATGGTTAAATGCTTCGTGTAAGTTGTGTTGCTTAGTAGCTGTTCTAGTTATATTCATGGTTACCACTACTTACCCTATAAAGAAAATAAGAAAATATATCGAATTAACCATACATTACTCAATTATGAGAAAGTATACTTTATCAGTTTATTGAAAATGGTACTGATTTCATCATTACTCGATGAAAAGCAAGCTTTTTAAAAAGTTCTGATTTAATGCAGCTGCTGGATTGGGTAGCTACGTGGAGGCATTAGTACGGAAACATGATGTTGATTTCAATGTAAGCCTTCTCTTAAGCTATCGTATCTAGGATGGATTGGTACTAGTATTGGTTTTAAAGAATATATGTCATTGGTATATATATTATAGCAGCTTCAGAAGTCATTGCCCTTGTTGTAATTGACAGGTAGTTGTGACTCAGATGAGTGGAGAAGACCACACATCAGAATCTATCCACTTGTTTCACGTTGGTAAAATGAGGATAAAACTTTGCAAAGGAAAGACAGTGATTGCTAAAGAGTATTACTCTAGCGCAATGCAGGTAAGCGATACTCTTTTTTCGCCCTTAAAGCGTCATCTTTTTAGACACCTTAAAGTCATAATCTTTTGATCATATTTAATAGCTATGTGGGGTGAGAGGAGGTGGAAACGCAGCAGCTCAGGCAGTTTATTGGCAGGCAAAGAAAGGAGTGTCCTTTGTGGTTGCTTTCGAGTCTGAGAGAGAAAGAAACGCTGCGATCATGCTTGCACGCAGATTCGCTTGTGATTGCAATGTAAGTATTTATCAACGAAGATGGAGTTAAAAACTGTATGCTTTTTTGAAAAGAGGTGTTGGATTTTGAGTATGAAACTGATTGATGTGTTGCAGGTGACGCTTACCGGCCCAGACGACAGAACAGAGACGGATCTTAACTAAGTTTCCCTAAGAGGATTTGTTTTGTAGTTTATGATAGGGTTTAGGCATTTGTTTGATTGCAGTTTCTATGTCTGTTGTGTAAAAAAAGAAAGAATCAGTGAAGATGTTGTGGAATCTCTATATAACGGGTGGTTTGTTTCTTATTCATTTGTTTTGTGGCGTATCTTACTTGATTGAACACATTTGACGAATATAACGGAAGTGTTTTTACTACAAATGTTTTTAAATTTTAATAGGGTGAATTTTAAGAGCATGACTCTCTCTGTTTATAAGAAAGTTAAAGTGAACAAGAATGATTTTTTTTTTCTTTTTTTTTGTTATGATTCACATTTACACTATTCAAAAATAGTTTTTTGGTAGGAGAAAAAACAAAGAAACAAAAGGTCTATGACAAATTTTACTACACACTAGTTATAAAATATTTGTCTCCTAAATTAGCAATAATTTTTGTGTGTGCTTATTTTGTTGCATTTTGTTTTAGTTAGGACAGCTCTATCAGGGTGTCTTCCCATTTTTAGGGACAATTTCATTAGGCAAAAGTAATTAAATTTAAATGGAAAATCCAACATTTTTTATGGACCGATCCTTCGCTAATGAGCATAGGAGACGGTCTTGTTGGGCGACGTGGAGGATCGTTCTTTCTTTTTTATATGTTTTATTGCTTAAGGAGAAAAATCAGTTTCTCGTTCTCGATTAACTAAATTTTATGGGATTCAAAATGAGTTACACTAGTGGAGATGGTCTTACACCTCTTCTGCGTTGGTCAAAATCTGATTGAACATAGCAGTAGTTGTATGTTATTTATAAAAATATTTTAAGAACAAAGCTTTTGCCAATTAACTATAAGATATGTGACAAAATGATTAACAATTTAGTTATAAAAAAAAGAAATTAGAACACAATTTGTAGGAATCCAAGAGAAACTAAAAGAATGGAAAAGCAAAAAAGAAAACTTGTCCATTGTCATAACGGATTTTACAGAGATTCCAATCTAAAACCAAACAAAGAACACAGAGAGTAAAGCAAACATAAAGAGATCATCTTAGCTACATGATCAACAAGACTTGGGTTTGTTTCTTCATGAACAAGAAACAGATTAGTCCTCCAGCGAAGGCAGAAGCGCAACTTCACCGTTTTCTGAGACAGAGTATTTCTTGAACACGGCTCTTAACGCACTTTTTGGAGCTGAGTCCCTCAACTTCATCAGTATTTCCGCGTGCTCCCTGAAACCAAAACCAAACAATTTATAATTCCACGATTGCAAAAAAGAAACTGAATTAAACATAAAGTGGTGACTAATAGCTTACACTATCTCATCTTCCAAGTAGCCAGTGTGATGTTTCAAGGTCTCAGACCAACATGGTGTCTTTTTAAGGGCTTGACGCGCAGCATAAACCGCTGATGCAGCCAGCAACGAAGGACGGTTCAAAACAACCATAGGATATTGCATGAGTCCCAGCTCAGCCAAGTAAAACACCAGTTTCTCCATCTCAATGTCACAAGGAACCGAAGCTTTAACGTAACGCGCAAGGAAAACATAAGGCGTCGGGACAGTGATGTACCATTCCACTTGTCGTAGGATCGATTTCTCCATAGCCAAGACCTGTTCTCTGCAGTAAGCGTTGTCCGAGATGAGGACGAAATCATTAACCTCAGGAGCCCAAATCTCTTCGTACTTGCAGGCGATAAGCATGGCGCTTATTCCCAACAGCTGAAGCTCTCTTCTTGGGACCATTGAGGAAGATAGGAACCGGTCAACGAGGTTAATGGTGAGGTAAAGCGTCTCTGGCATCAACTCAAACTTCCTGTGAACGTCTATAAGCCAATCAATCAGAATCGATCTCATCTTCACATTGATTTCAGGTTGTGATCCCATATAGTCTCTGATTCTTCCTTCCTCTTCTACAGTCTTGTAAAACTTGAAAATGTCATCGACGTATTCGACTGCAGCAAGTTCGTTGTTCGCATCCGCAGCATCAATGTCGATCACAGCATCTTTGACTCCACTTGCAGCCTATTACAAGAAGATAAAAAGAGAATTTTAAAATCATCAAACAATGTGAAGTTAAACTCCACTGAAACGATTTGGAATTATAGTTACCTTGCTTCGAGCTCTTAATGTTGCTGTAAAAGTCTTGGATCCTCTTTTGCTAGCATGTGGTCTGCAAGATTTCTCATTTTCATCAGGGCTAATGATAATAACCTCGGCCTTTGACTGTTTCTGCTGCTGCGGTTTCGCCTTCCTCGCAAGATCCTGAAGATACGTGATACAGTTTTATGAGTTTCAAGAAAGTTTGGGAGAAAACTGAAGCATGATCAAAGAAAGAGATCAGAGATTTGAATTACCTTTCCGGTTGCAATTTCTCGATCGTTGACGAGATTTCCAATGTCTCCAAGAGCTTTTCGATTTTGTCTTCCATGTCCCGCAACATTCGTCGGTTTTACTTCGCCTAACATTTGCAATTACAGCACAAACCCATCAATAAAGATACTTAGTAATTTTGTTGTATATGTAACTTAACAGAAACTTTAGGACTCATAGATCAGATCGAATCAAGAGTTCTTTTCAATCTCAATAATAAAAAAAAAAAAGTAATCCTAGGCAGTTGCAAGAAATTTAGGAGAAAATCAAATAAAACATTACAGATTTTTACCAAAATTAAATTAAAAGGTAGAAGAACAGATCAATTGATCAAGATCCAGAACAAATTTCGAGTCTTCACGGTGATATCAGAAAAAATTAATTTGGTTGTATATGTAACCTAGCAAAATCAGATCAAATTCACTCAAGAACCAACGCAGTTGCAAAATATTCAGGAGAAAATCATAGAAAACATCGGAAATACTAACCAAAATCAAAATTAAAAAGTATAACACATCAATTAATCAAGACCCAGAAAAAAATTGGAAGTCAATACGAAGAAACCCAGAAACCAAAACCTGCAATTCCTCGCTGATTCGGAAGGTTAGAGACTCTAGACGCCATTTTTGAATCTTCTTCCTTTTCTGTGATCTGAAGTAACGCTCCTCCGATACTCGTTAACAGAGAAGAAAAGAAATCTCGGAGACGATTACTCCCCGTCTCCGCTTCAACCAAATCAGACGCCACTATCTCTCTCTCTCTGTGATCACTCTTTCCGGTTCAAACTTCTCTATTTTCTCGAGCGTAAAATTGTTTATGGTGGAGAAAGAAGATTCGTAGTGAAGGAGAGAGGCACTGTTTTATTTTAAAAAGAACGTTTTTAGCTCTCTCTTAACGGTCATGTTTTTTAGTGAATCGAATCTTCACCGTAGATTTAACTTTAACTAGGATCTAAGGGTTTGAAATTAGTTTTCGTAATAAATTGTTTATTGTTACTTTTTACTAGCCGTTGGAGACAAGAGGAGCCTAGGAGTGTGTAGCGTTTATAGTAAATACATATAACATATTTGTAAAGTTTTTTTTTATTAACAAAAACAAAAATTGTAAATTTCTTTGTTTGTTTTTTGGAATCAATCGACGGATACAAATAGACTTGGATTAGTAAAAGAAATAATTATACAGAAAGACACTTTTATATACTCTACTTACACTAAAAGACACCTCTAGTTATTGAGGCACTTTCATGCTGTGCAAAAATATTCATACCTTCATTAATTGGAACACTCATCTCTTCCAATCAATTTCTTTCATTTTACAACCCAAAAAAAAAAGATCATTTCCTCGATTTCGATGGCGAGCAACCCTTGACGACATCTCGTCGTTGCTATCAAAACCAAATCTATTTATCTCACCAACGGCGACTACATCCACCACAGCTGATTAACAACAAGGCCAGAACAAACAAGGAGAATATATCTCAGCAGAGATATTGACTCTGGCGAGTGAGTTTGGTCGACCTAAATACAAATGCTGCTCGGTACCTCTGTCTCGATGCCACAACATGGAGAACAAGCTTATATATGCGCCAGTATAGAATAAATTGTAAGTTTGCCTAGTTTCAAAATTGTATTTTTAGAAAAAAAATCTTGATTATCATATCGTTTGGATCAAATGTGATTTGTCATTGTTACAGTTTCAGGGCTATATAATCTCTCTATTACAAGTTAGATCTTGATTCTGAGACTGTTTTTGTTTAGCCAGACAAATTTTTAGGATTATTACAACTTGTCAGACAATTAGAACATGGACAAAGTAATGTGAACAAGTTAGTTTGGATAGCATATTGTGGATACAAACATTTGTCAACTATATCTATATACTTATTTGTGTAGTGATTTGCTTACGTGTCGTGCTCACAGCGAATTTCACAGCATTTCGCTTATGTGTTAGTTCTAGAATGAGTTTCGGCTGCAAAAAGACCGTTTAACCCTATTAAGAAATTACATGTTATTTTTTAATTGGTTCTTAACTGATGATGTGTAAATTTTTTTTAAAATAAACCGGTCTAAATTATTATGGTTTAATATTTAATTTCGTGGTCAACCAAACCGTTTAAATTTTTTTATAAAACCAAAATTTAGAAAAATTTTAACAAAAATGGTTTTTGATAAAAAAAAAAATTTATATATCTCTTAGTGTTTACAATTTCTTATGTTACCAAAATTTAGAAAAAAATCTAACAAAAATGTTAAGAAAACAAAAAATGGAATCTATTTAAAAAGCTATAGAATATCGTTTTAAAAAGCTATATAGTATAAATATCAGCCACTTTTCTCTACCTTTTTCACAACTTTTAAAATTGTTTAACCTCTTCCTTCTTCTTCATTCTAACTACTTATTTGTGTAGTGATTTGCTTACGTGTCACGCTCATAGCAAATTTCACAATCTTTCGCTTACGTGTCAGCTCCAAAATGAGTTTCGATTGCAAAAAGATCATTTAGTCATATTAAGCAATTACATGTTTTTTTTATTGGTTTTTATGTGATGATGTGTAAAAAAACTTAAAACAAACCGGTCTAAATTATTATGGTTTAATGTTTAATTTCATAGTCAATCAAACCATTTTTAAAATTATATAAAACCAAAATCTAGAAAAAAAATTAATCAAAACGTTTTTTTAAATGAAATATATCTCTCTTATGGAATGGTGTATAAAAGCCATCGACCATTTTTAAAAAAATTAGATCTAGGTTAGTATTTTCGATAATTATTATATATAGGTTAGTATTTATCATTTTTTCTGTTTTTGAAATTTAGAAAAAATCTAACAAAAATGTTAAAAGAAACAAAAAACAAAATATATTTAAAAATTAATGGACTGTCGTTTCAAATTTTTTTTTAAAAAAAATATCGAATAAAAAAGTTTAAAAAAAAAGAATCTATATACTTAATTAATGGAATGTCGTTTAAAAAAATTTCCGGTTTTCATAGGAAGTCTGGGATAAGGATGTTACAATTTCTGTATTCATGTTATTTATGTAAGATATGTTCGGTGATTAATGAATAACTAGGTGGGGGATCCGGGCTAAGCGCGGACTTGCGATACAAAGCTAATTACAAAAAATTATAGAGGTGATCATTGATAAGTAGGAAGTTTGTAAGTTATATATAGTCTTTTGAAATGATAAGTTTTAATATTCTCTTGCTCTAACATACTAACTATATATCATGAATAATTTTTTTTATAATGGTGAAAAGCTTAGATATTATATAAACATTTCAAAATTTCGAAGAGTATTTGTTGTTATTATGATATGTCTATTGTTAATAACCCCATAAATTTTGATAGTTGGTTAATAGTACTTTTGAAAAAAACACACCACTTTATCAAAAGTGACTATTACCGTTATGTGCATCAATATTTGCTGATGTACAACATTCCAATATTAAGTTGCAATTTGTTTCGGTGACCATTATAGTTTTGTACTTGATTTCCTTTATGTTTAATAAAAGTATCGATTCTCAACAATCAGGACAATCATTAATGGAAAAAAGAGAAAGAATATCAATTCTGAAGCATAAGTAAACCAAAGTGTCATTAAAATAAACTATTTAATTAGTAAACGTCTAAACTAAAACAAATAAAACAAACTATTGTTTCCTTACATTTTGGAAGATGGCCTTATATACAACGTTCAAAGTATTGTTTTGAGGTTTACCCATAGTATTTGTTATCAGAATCTTCAAACCAGCTCTCGAAGTAACATGTGATATAACCACATAAAGTTGTCCATGGGAAAATACGGGTTTTGGTAAATACAGTCCAACCTTTTGTAAAGTCTGTCATTGGCTACGTGAAATTGTCTATGCCTCATTGATTGCAAGCAAAAGCGGGGTTTGTTGTTTTCGTTTTACTAAGCTTCAGGTTTTAAATTTATAACCCCTAAATGTCTGCAAGTGCACAGATGTGCGCTGTAGTACTTAGGGTATCGATCCACAGAGACTTAGTTGTTTCAGTACGAATTCACGACAATGCTTAAATCAGACTAGAACTAAATAGGTTTGGGTTTTGGTTGTCACGAAATCTAAACTAGAAAGCAAAGCAAGTAAAAGCAATTGAAAAACGAAAGAAAATAAAACAAGTAAAAAGCGATTAAACCAGGGGCGAATGAAAGCAGGTAATAAGCGAATGAAAAGCAAGGGTTGTAAGCAATGAAAACAAAAGTTGGGCATCAAGGGGTTTCGCAGGGATTCATGGACTAAACTATATCGATTTTAAGCATGTGATAAAGGTAATCAACTACGTATGTTCTAGAACTCGAGGCACGAAAGTATGAATAGCCTACTTTTGCAGCACTAAACAACTATCTCTCGCAACACTGATCAGTTGGTTTCCACTCTGATCCTGGAAGGGAGAAGATGCAATAGCAGAACAAGACTCATCAACATTCACAACTCAACTACAGGTAGGTTTCCACTCCTATAGAATTATTGCTCGTTTCACCCTAGTTCAGACAATCAATGAAAACTTTCGCAACATATCATATCAGATCGGCTTCTAAGTGGCCAGCAGAGAATCACACAGTAAGATTAAAGGCAAACGAAAAATATCTAGAAGATTAATAATCCTAAATCTATCGATTCATAAGAAAAGACACATGAAATTCCCTTTGAAAAATCCATTTAAACCCAACTGGGTAACTACTCAAACATATTGTAACAAAGCATCATAAACGAAATTGAAAGTGCAGAAAATTAAAGAAAAGAAGGAAGAAAAACGAACAACAGAATCGACGGCGGAGGCGCGATGATGCCCTCCTGTGGCGGCTCCTCCTTCAAAAACGGCGGCCTCTCTCTAGGGTTTTTGAATCTGATACGATCCTAGGTGATCAACTCTGAAGAAAAGGCAACAGTTGCAGCGATTTTGTGGACAAACTATAGCGATGAGGTGATGGGGTGGTGATGATCGGTTCGATGGTGGCGATGGCTTGAGGATCGAGTCGAAGATGGTGATGGTGGTTCGGCGGATCGAGTGAGATTAGAGGGTGGATGTGGTGTGATAAGATGACATCGATGGAATGGAGATATAGAAGAATCTCTTGTAAACAAATTAGTTTTTAAGAGATTCGAATTTCAGAGTTTTTTAGTTCTCAGAAATCAAAGAGAGAAGAACACGTTAAAAGTTTGATCAAAATTCTTCACTGAATATGACATAGGCGATTTTCTCTTTTTATAGACTAAGAGAGAAAATCGCAGCCCTAATAACAAAACTACATGAAGTTTGAAATAAAACAACAAGAAGTTTAATTTAAAAATAAAACAGCGAGGCGTCCCTTCTAAACCTAAGTGGTGCGCCTAAAACACTAGTGCACAAGTCATTGTGACTTTGCACATTATTACCCATTAGTAACAACTTCTAAGTAACTCGACGTAGCAATGATTTCTGCCTCGTTAAAAACCTTGGAGAAGAACCTCCTTGCCTTCCAAAATCCTCACCAAGGAAAAGAGTACAGAATCATCACCTAAGTTACCTAGTCATTGTTACTGGGTTCTTCATTCTTCAAGATAGAGATGTTGAAGATGTGAGCTCCAGCCTCCAGTTGATCGATGTCCTCTGCGGCCATGAGTGCGTGAGCCTCCTTAGCCATCTCTCTAGCTCTGGAACGAGTGATCCTTCCAGCTACCTCTGGTTCCTCCTCCTCTGAGCTGGTCATGATCATATCATCCTCTCCCTCTTGAAAAGGATTTGTCCTCAAATCTGAATCTGCAACATAAGGAAGCAAGTCAGAAACATTGAAAGCATCAGAAACATCATACTTACCTTGG